AGGGAGCGAGACCGGATGCTCGACGGGATGAAGCCGTGGAAATAGCTTGGGGAAACTGCGCTGGGAGGGAGCGAGACCCGATGCTCGACGGGATGAAGCCGTGGAAATAGCTTGGGGAAACTGCGCTGGGAGGGAGCGAGACCGGATGCTCGACGGGATGGATGAAGCCGTGGAAATAGCTTGTGGAAATAGCTTGGGGAAACTTCGCTGGGAGGGAGCGAGACCGGATGCTGGACGGGATGAAGCCGTGGAAATACTTGGATGTTCATGGGGTTTAGTAAATATTTAGATGCTTTATATGATTTACATAAGTCTGCTAAGTATAGTTATAAGTGTTTTAAGTTGTACTTATGAGACTTATATATCGTTTAAGTGGCATAAATATTTTATCATGGATACTAAATTCTCAAAAGTTTTACTAAAGTTTACTATATAACATAAGTAGATAGTTGGATTAGCTAACTTTATGTGTCGATATAGCAGAGTTAGCCTAAGTGGAATACATGATTTAGACGAGTTACAGTAAGTCGCATAAATGGTTTTAAGGGCTTTACATAACTTGTCTAAGTCCCACTTAGCAAGTTTACATAACTCACCTAAGTACAACTTAGTAATTTTTGCTAAGTCTGCTAAGTCTGATTTAGGGATCCCAGAACATAGGAAAATTACCATGTGTTTTTTTTTTGGGTTGGTGCAGGTTGTTTTTTTAGAATTCACACGGAGCGATTTTGTGTTTGGACCGGGGCTGAATTTTATTTTTATCATTTGGGTGCATGATGTTTTTCAATTTGGGTGTAGGATGTTCTGTTTTTTCACGTGCCAATTTGGGTTTGAGATACAGCCCAGCGGGTAAAAGAACAAAAACCGTGGAATACAAATATGTTTTTTGAAATCTGTTACGTTTGTTTTTGGTGTGTCCTGGTGCGAAAACAATGATTTCAATCATGTTCTAAAATTAAACCACCTTGGCTCAGATATCTTTCAACCCTTGCCTGTTGCAAAAGGACAACATGATGAGCAGAGCGGAACCAAAAAAAACAACAAAGAAAAAAACGCATATGGTTTGGTGGAACCTTTTTTTAATCTTAAAATTTGCAATGATTTTTCCTTTGAATCACCATTTTCCTATATGTTGGTCCGCCCAGATCGCCGATAGTGGGCATGCGTGGCCTGTGCAGGCGCCTTCTGCAGGGGGTGCTTTTGGAAAATCTATTTGTTCAAATATATTAAAAGGTTTGACTTGGTTATATATATACCTTCAGGGGCGATGGTAATCCATTTGTTGTTGAGGGATGCAGGTCTTTGATCGCATCTCTAGATGCAGAGTAAACTCGCATCTGCCGACTGCAGAAAATTGGTTCAGATTTGAAGGTATAACAACGGAAAGTTCCTGCCATGGCGATCTCAGCAGAGCTGAAGGCAGAGATCATGGCGCTGTTGGAGAAAGCGAAAGGCGGGGAGAAACTGGTGAGCATGATTGACAAGATCCTCGCCCTTCTCAAGAAAAGTGGTTTGGCCTGGTCGCAGAAGCTTCTGCCTCACCAGGTAGGCTGCCATCCTCGCAACAGAGACGGACTTGGCATCTCCACATCAGAAGTTCACGGTCTCATCACAGACATCGTGCAAGTAGGATTTTCTCCAGATGAAGTTCGCTGCATTTGCTTCGAAACGGATCCATCCAAGACAGAGGTTGTGGACTTCAACCGCCGGCTGCACAAAGAAAGTGCAGGGAAGCTAGCAAGTCTCAACACCGAGTTGATCAGGTATGCGAGCGTCTCAGGCTCTCACCTGAACGCTGGGTTGAATTGCTGGATCCATGGTGTCATGCACGACAACCCAGCATGCACAGGCCCAGATGGGAAACTGTCACTGGCAAAATTGTCAGAGATGGACAAGGCCTATCATGCAGCCTGCACAGAGGGCCTGCCATGGCTGGTGGTTAGCAGCCAAGTTGATCAGGAGTTTCCTGAGCTCCCGCACCTACTGCAATCTTCCATGAACGTGGCCTCACATCTGAGCCGTTCGGAGTCAGAGCTCCAGCTCCTCCGGAAGATTTGGGCTGCTGTGGTTGCTCAGATGGGCCAAGGCAAGACGGTCATCACGTGGAACGATGTGAAGACTGCTGTGCTGAGATCCAAGCCAACGTTGGCTATGACATGCCCCATGATGTTTGGGTTCGTGCTGAAGTTTTCCGGCGGTGTTTCTGGCCATTTGATGGACGAAACGGAAAGCTTCATTCGTGCACATGGGCATGCTCGAAGGAGTCTGGGGCCAGATGTCTTTGCAGCTCTTAGCCAGGACTTGAAGGGCACTGAGCAGTATGCCAAGTATCGCCACTGTGCCTTGATCGTTATTGAGCTGCTTTCATATTTTGCCCAATGGTTCATGTTGATTTGCATCAATCTTGATGGCACTTAAGGTGTTTTGAGGGCTCTCTACATGGTGCCGGACAAGGTTCTTGGTATCGGTGACGTCCGCAAAGCATTGGCACAGAATATGACTCCTGGCATGAAGGATGCTGAGGCTGCCATGACATTGGCTGAGCAGCTCTGCACCGCACACCAGCTCGGAGACTCCGACAAATTGCATGCAATTGGCCTCATGTCAGTGAACCTTGTGTTGGCAACCATCAAGAAGGTTCACAAGGATCTCCCAAAACTGCAGTCTGTCAGTGACGCAGGTCGGATGTTCATTGAGCATCTCAGGGTATTGGCTAAGAACCCAAACATCGCATCTCCATGGGTGGCTTCGGCTTCGGCATCCAGCCCACAGGACAAGCCTGCCGCTTCAAAGGCGAAAATGCCAAAATCAACAGCGTTCCTAGGCGTATATAAGAGGGAACCGACATTGATCTTTTCATTTCTGAAATTTTCGAAAGCTATTTCTATATCTATATATATAGAGGAAATGTTTTAACTTGGGCCGACTTGAAAAAAACTGAAGGCTGCGAGCATTGGACTCCAGCGGCAAATCCGCCGATGCGGCATTGTTGAAGGACGCAGGCTTTGCAGTCGGCATGCAGGTGAAGAGAAAGTTGGATGGCATGGAGGGAACCATCAAGCAGATGACCCCAAACAATGTGTTGCTTCTGGTTGGGGGCGTTGAGAAGTCCGCATCCGCAGAATCTTTCTTGAAACATGAATGGAAAGAAGTGCCTGTCAAAGCTGACCCTGTGAAGATTGAAAACTGGAGTCAGCATTCCCCGGAAACCAACAAGTATTTCTATGTTCAAGTTTTGAACGGCCAGATTCTCAAGGAGATGTTCGCGAAGGTGAAGGGGCAAGCATCCCTATCTCTTGAGGTTTACTCCAAACCGAAGAATGTCATTGTAACAAAGGATTACAAGACTGGTCAGTTGAAAATCCCAATCAGCACCATGCGGGTTGACATCAGAGGTGATGACAAGGTGCCCCCGAATTCCATTTGCCTTGGCAAGAGCTCTAAGGACTGGTGTTGTTATCACTTCACCGATTTGCATGGTTTGGCTGATTAACTTCAAGATTTAAAATGTATATGAAATAATGAACATGGAACACAACGCAGGATGGTGATGTTTGGAAGATCTATTTGATGCCATACGTCACAGAGACCTTCGTCGCGCCGTGCTGGCACATCAAGGTTGAGCACGAAAAGAAGGATTGCAATCTGGTCTTGTCGCAGGACCTGAGTAAACAAGATGTGACCTTAGGTGGCCGGGTCGAAATTCCTTTCCTCCAGAACAGTTGCCCAGTGACAAAGGGAACATCACTGGTTTTGTACAGGCCGAAGCCACCACAGGTCACAGCACAAGTGGAGGAGTTGAAAGATGTCAAGAGACGTAAGACAAGCAAAGCCGCAGAGTAGCTGATTCTGTCGGTAGATTTCGCTATGAAGGGTGGCTGTTCCCGTTCAGTTCATGAGCAGAAATATTGTCAAACTTCATTGGACTTCAAAATTCAACTGTTTGAAATGATTGCAATTTTGGATGAACGGAAAGTTTGCTAGCACCACGCGGTGTGGCACCCTACAAAAGTGTTGGTTATACACATAAATTGCATATAGAGATTGCAACTCGGCTATGGAAAAAGTTTGCGCTATGTGCGCAGTGCTGCAGAGCACAGGATCGATTCAATTTGGATGCAATGTAGTCGTCATTTTGTCAGGATGATTGGATGGGTTTCACTAACAGAATCAAATATTTTGTTGAGTATAGTGCATGGGGGGGCAGGGCGGCACATTTATTCTGAACATGAACGCCCAGCATGTGTCTTCAGTGACTTGCTTTGTACAGTGCTTACTGTATATACATGGCTCAATGTCCCAGGACTTGAAAGAATCAAATTTCCATTTTTTTCGCATAGCGCAGAGATTGCTCCATGGAGAGGGGGCGGGGGTGGGCAATCAAGCGCGTTGTTGCTGTGGAGACACCCCACAGCAAGAAAGATTGGTTTCCTTATTGTAAAGACGTGGAGGGTCACACCTTCTTCCGTTTTCAGAAGTTTGACAGAGGCGTTGTCATCGCCCTCACAGGCAAAGGCCTAGAACTAAGGGCGACCAAAAGCCCTCATCTTCTCGATGGAAAAGAATATGATCGCATTGTCCATCTGAGGAATGCTGAGTGCAATCGTCGATATCAGGAGACCATGCGGCTAGCAGCAGAGGCTGCAGGGGATGAGTGGAAGCCCACCAAAAACTCCATGATGGCGAAGGATGATCACCGCCTCATCGTGGCACAGTACATCACGATCGCCCTACCAGTGCTGCAAAAGGATGCCGAGTGTGTTGGCCCTTTGGAGGCCAAGGGCCCTTTCAAAACAAATCAGTTGGACAGGTTTCAAGAACAGTTGAGACAACCATGGAATACCTTGCCAAGAACAATTTTGTTTTAGACCTTGGCCATGGAACTCGTGTTATAAGTTATATGTGTATTCTGGTTTTCCAGGCAAAATGCCTGTGGGGCACCAAAGCAGCTGACCTGTGGTTCGAGCTGAATGCCGATGTGTTGCACTACTTGTCCATTGCCATGAAGATGCCTGCAGACGCATCTCAGTCTGCAGCGGCAGCTGCTTTGCCCGCCGATGAGCAAACTGAGTCTGTCCCTGCATCTGAAGCTGCTGGTGGGGAGGCCGAACATGTTAGGAAATCTCCCAAAAAGAAGAGGAGACGATTTCAGCCGAAACGATCCCCCAAGAAGAAGGCTAAGAAGGCACGTCAGGCAGTGAATGAGGAATGTGAAGTTTCTGAGAACAATGAGAACCATGGATCTGAAACTGAGGGTGAGTAGTTGGGATGATATGCCGGTACCCTGGCTATGAGGGCAGTTTTTAAAGGAGCTTGACCAGAATGCGCAGTCAAAACAAAACTTGGAGATCCTGCCGTGCTTGGAGCACGTTTGTCAACGCATGTCGACACGTTGCAAGCAATGTTGATTGGACTATAATACTATATATATATATAGTGGAATTGCCGCTGTCTAAATAGGTGTGCAGAGATCATTGTCTCACAACCTTGTGCTAGCAGAGAGTCCTCGCTAGCTGCAGGCATTATATTATATCTTGCCACATGCTCGCCAGCGGCCAGGCATTCTTACATGGACAGTTTTCTCACTCAGTCGCTTCAGGTTTGGCTGTTTCACAAACTGATGACGACAAAGGCAAACTTGATTGGAAGGTTCAAGGTGCTTACATGATGTTGGTGGTGTTTCATCCATGGTTCCGTGATGACATGTCAACATATGATGAGAGTATTTGCTGACATGTATGATGTTCTGCAATAATATTCCCGATGACAGCTGGACACAACGAAATATTGTGAAACTTTCAGAATCCACCTCATATGACCCTGACGTGTATACATGCGGTGGTTGAATTTTCCTACACCATGGCTGCTCAGGCTCATCACCTCTGGGCCCATACATTGTCTGGGAACCCAAGATTGCAGGAGTGCACCATGCTGCCATTGTTATCGAACCTGGTGCATGGGGGGTGTTCTATTGTGCACAACTTGTAGCTAACTCCCAGCCGACCACTTTGATTAACGAGAAACTAAATCAAGATTCACCTGGTGTATGTTTTTCTTGGGGCTCTTCGCACCGTTGTCGGATGTAAGGCCAGAAACACCTTGGGTCATCATGGTCGTCATTTGTCAAATGTCAGGGCTCCTAGATGGAGCAGCTTTGCATGGGGCATGCATTTTGTAGATGGCTTTGGGGCATGCATTTTGTAGATGAATCACAAAGTCTTGAACCTTCTAGATGCATACCCGCTTTGAACATGTTTTCAGTGTAGTACTTTGGGGTGTCATCGAAACAAAAAAATCTTGCTTCGTTGCGACATAACCAGCGATGCTTTGGCTCTGCTGGCAGAACTGCGAGTATAGGAATGCAAGAAACATTTACTCTGCAGTCCAGTCCAATGTCAATGACACCATAATGCTTCAAGATGTTTTTCATTTGCAACTGCTTCCGTGTCTGAGGCCGTAACCTCCTTGGAGCATGTTGTGCGGATCCGCAGATTGCATGGGCCCCCATATGTGGACAGCTGGGTTTTCAAAGAAGTTGGTTTCACTATATTGAAGGGTCAAAAACAATTACCCCTGCAAATGGTATTTTTTTTCTGGGACTTGCGGCCATTTTAGCTTGGATGACCAAGTGACTAAGTATAGATGTACAATGGTTGTCTCCTTCAGGCAAATATGTGTTGTGCAACCTATTTCAGTTCAGTGGAAAATGATTTGCACCCTTGTTGGAACATTCCGTTCGTGATTGCGAAAAAGAAATGCAAACTCACATGGGGTTAGATATGCGCGTTGCTGACCTGGAAGGGTCAAGGTTTGCAGAGCTTTTAGGCTCGCTGATCTTGCAGTGCAGAGACATTGCCTCGCACTGCTTTCTGTCCGTCCCTCAAGACAACATCACCAACCTGAGAACCATCATATTGACATATCTTGGTTTGAAACTATCAGTTTGAAATTTGAAATCGGAGGACCATCACCAATCAGAGAACCAATTTCACAGGAACAAATAGACATATCTTGGTTTGGAAGAAGTCTGAAATGGTTTACCTTGGCATGACAATCTGTTCCATTTTCGATGGCAAGGACACCATGACTCCAAACATTTGACCCAAGCAGGCTGGTCACAGGTTTTGACTTGAAGTGTTCTACCATCAAGAAGTTCACATAGTGGGAAGTTATATCCTATATAGATGAGACCCCAGCTGCTTCGAACCGGCGCATGAGGCCAGAACCATCTTGGATCATCTCGGTTCTCATCCAGAGATTGTCAGGGCTCCCAATTGGAGTTGACGGCTGGCATGTCTGGAGATCAGATTCTGTAAGGTTGTTAAACAGATCGAATCACATAATAGATTTCAACTTTCTGAGCTTCTAAGATGTGCAGAGGTAAAAGCATAGTTTCAATGTTCACAGACTTTGCATCGCTCTCGCTGTCCTTCATGCTCTTTACATATACAGGCTACCCTATGGGCATGACTTGATGGCGGATGTCACGGCCTATGGCCACAGCATGTGCATTCCCAATTGGTGCACGGGGTGGTTTGTGTTGGTATACATTTCCATCTGTTTCCATAGTCAACAAGTCATCTGTTTCCATAGTCGACAAGTCATTCTTTTAAGTAACACAGGGTTGTTCAACACCTCACACGGAATTGCGGACTGCTGGCAACTGTGTCACTGGCCCAACACAACAGGCATGAATCAACAGATAGATAGATAGAAAGATCTAGGCATAGATTGATTGATAGGTTGACTGATAGATATTCAATGAAATTCTTCACATTTCGACGTGACTGGAATTGCCAGTGACCAGTTGCCTGCAGCCCCCACAGCGCGCATGGAAGCAGCTGGCCGATTCGTGCGCCTGCTGCGAAAGCCGAAGATCGCCTGCAAGCCAAAAGGCGACATGGACCCAATCCCTGAGGAGTGGGGAGTGGATGATCCCAAAGCTGATGCGGAGCCCGTGCAGGAGGATGAGGACAAGGAGGAAGAAGCATGGCGGGCCTCCACTGCAGCCATGGAGGGTGAGCCAACAGCCCTTGCAAAGAATGAGGCAGGGGAAGAACAGGAAGAAGAGGAATATCAGGAAGAGGCGGAGGAAGAGGTGGTGGCTGACGATCCAGCCGATGATCCAGCCGATGATCCAGCCGATGATGCAGCCGATGATGATCACAACGAGGAGGACGACGAGGAGCATGATGACGGGCAGCAGCTGCACTCCAATGAGTACAACGAGATGGACAAGCAGATGCAGGGCCTCAAGAAGTTCGTGGAAAACGAGCACTCCAAGAAGGCTGAGAAGGACGATGCATATGACAATGGCAAACGCCAGGAATGGTATTCCAACAAGTACCGCAACAAGGGCAAGGGCCAGGATTGGAGCTGGAACAGCAAGGGAAACTATGGAAAGGGATGGAAGGGGAAGGGCTGGCAGAAGCGAAGCCCCAAGGGCAAAGGAAAATGGAATTGGGGCAAGTGGCAATCCAAGTGGGAAGATTGGGGCCCAAAGCGCCATGGTGATCATGAAGGACATGGTGATGCGGACATGCTCGTCCCCGACGGCAAGGGCAATGGGTACTACCTCCCCAACGGACAGGGATTCCTCACCAAGGACGGGGTATACCACCCGCATCTCGGCTATATTGATTTCTGTGGTGACCCAGAGTGTGCAAGTTGCAGTTGTGCATACAATGTGAATAGTTGTCATGAAATCATTAAGACATGAACCCACGTTATGTTATGTCTGCAAGGCCTGGGAGTGGACTATCCCGTGGTGAAGGGCTGGGCGCAAAGACGAGGATCAGAGGAGGGGCGAAGGCGCAGGCAGCCAAGCGCAAAGCGGCCATTGA